CGGGGGCGCGCAACCTCATCACCGCCAATCGCGCGGAGGAGGAAGAGAGGAGGAGGAGGAAGAGGAGGAGGAGGAGGAGGATGGGGAGGTTGGGATTGGGACAAGATGAGCAGGACGACGATGATAGAGACGAGCGCAGGATGGAGGGGAAATGCAGAGAAGGAGGCCTGCGCGCGGAACTGAACCTTGGCTTGAAGCATGGGCCAGCGACAAGCGAACCAATGGCGACGGTTCGGAGGGGCGAGCCCCGTAGACCTGGGCCGAGAGGGGGCAGCGCGCGAGCGCCATCTCCCTCTCTCTCTATCTCTCCTCTATGGCGGCACTTGGGGTGTTTGCGCTGGGGGAAGCGGCGCCTCTCGTGCTGGGCAGCTTCATTACGCCGCCAGCCGCCCACGCCGAGGCTGGGGCAAGCTCTACCTAGCCCGATCGGCTTAGAAGCGGCGCGCTGGCAGCATTTCCGGCAAAACAAAAAGGGCGTCACCGACCTCGGCCTCGGGCCGAAACGTGAGCTCACACCTTCAAACATCGCGCGCGTGGGCAAACTACCTCTACCGCTTAAAATTATCGGGGGCGACGCCCCGCCTACACTCAGCAAAAGAGACGAGGGAAATGACGGCGATGAGGAAGAGGCCGACGGGGGCGCATAAAAGGATGATCCAAAAGGACAAGGGCAAGGATATCAGGAAAGGGACCAGCAGGAGGACGAGGAGGAGGAGGACAAGGACGGAAAGGACAATGAGGCGGATAAATGGCGCGTGCCCATACATGGGGGGGGGGGGGGGGGGAAGGAGGAGGATAATGAGAAGCGGCCCGCGACGCCAGAGGGGCCCCCCCGCGACGTCGAAGTCGGCGTCGGCGGCGGCGATGCTGCCAGAAAAACTGACGGCGGACACAGAGCCCATATCATCCGCACTCTGATCCGCTTCGCCCATATGAACGCCGCTGGCACAGCGACAACTGGGCCGTCCTCGTCTGCGCCAGGAGTAGCGGACTCACGCGCTTGATTTGCAGTTCTGTTTGCCCCAAGGAATTCCACGCACATGTCCATCGTATCTGCCATTTACGTGAGTCCACCTGCAATGCCGACCAGCTCCAGGAATTCCGCGTGCATGTCCGTCACGTCCGCCAGGAAGGAGCCATTGTTTGGGGTCGGCAAGCACGATCATCATCAGCACGTTGAAGGCGTCCTCCTGAGCAGGAAGCAAAGGTGATCAGTGATCCGCGTCAGAGAAGTCAGATAATACGAGTGCGTCCATAGTCACGCTGCCCACCTTGCCAAGTCTCTTTCTCTCTCTACCCCTCGCTCTCTCTACCTAAGTGACCGTGTAGCCCAGGATGCACGACTGACTGCGAAGTGCGAGCTGGCGCACCAGGTGGACGAGACCGAGGTTGGGCAGGAGACTTGATGGGGCCATGTTCGCCAGAGACCAGAAGAGAAACGTCATCACTATGGGCAAAATCAAGAATCAAGGAAGGTCGCGTCAATGGCCCACCAAACTGGACTCGACGGCCAACAATCACTCGTGCCAACCAGCACAGTGTCTTTACCATAGCCAGCTGACGGTGCGCCATCACCATGAAGAAGCGCAGGGTCGAAGGAGCTGCCTGCCGGCCATGGCGAAGCAGTCGCGGTCGCGGCGCGCGTGCCCGCGCTCTCGATGTTGTTTAAGCGGGGGCCCAATTCTTCATCGGACATGGCGTCGTCCTCTAAGTGGACATGTGGATGGGGGTCCTTCAGTGCCACCGTCCACGCGTTCCGCCATGGCCTCTTGGTCAGTTTCAAAAGGGGGCGGCCCCCGCGGCGCGCCCAAGTCACGGGGGCGCCGCAAGGGCGGGGGCGGGGAGCGCGTCGGCGACTCATGCGAAGACGGAACAGTGATACCAGGGCCATTCCGGGTCGACGCCCCACTTCTCCATGCCGCGCGGGATTCCTGTCAACACCGCGCGCAACTTGGGGGTCGCATCCGCGGGGCGAGGAAGGGCGAGGCCACGGCCGACCTGGCGTTGAAAACGGGCGCGATGGTCGAAGGGCTCCCCGAGGGGTCTGGCCCCCATTGAAGCATCGCCGCGTGCCCGCGGGCGCGCCGCGGGGCAACGTGGATGACAATTGGACCCGCGCCAGGAAATTCCGCGAGATGATGTCGCAGTTGCTCTCTTGCGCTTGCCGATGTGCACCGCGCTGCAAAGCGAATTTGTCCAGAAGCGCGTCTGCTTCTGTCCTTGCCTCTCTTCGCTGAATCGCCCGGCAGCGGGGTGCCCTGCTGGCAATGGAGCTCCAAGCCCGAAATCAACGCAGAAATCTGTCCCAGTGTGCAAGTTGCTCACATGCTCCGCGTAGTAAACAGAGAGCAACCCATATGCTGCCTATGTCGTGGCACGGCCGGTGAGCTCTCGCCTTGTCCTGTCTACTCTCTGGGCGGGGTCGCCCCCGCTCGCGCGTCGAGCTCCAATCAACGGCGCGTCGATGTCAGTCAATGCAAGCTTTCCCATGCACTGGCAAACTGGCGATCGCCATGATGCCGCCGTTGCCCGCGCCTGTCTCTGAGTCGCCGTCCGAGCCGGTTGGCCAGCGAGGTCCGCGCGACGGGTCGGCGCCGTCACCAGCTGCCGCGCGAGAGGGCGGTCGAAGCGCAGATTGGGCACTTCTCGTGAGCGCGGGCATGGGAGCTCTCGGTTGTTTGGGAAGGATGACCACCTGCATGTGGATGCGCCTGGATGCAACTGGCAATCGGGCCAGAGCCAGGCTATCGACGCCAGGCCCACGCGCTGCCAGCGAGGGCGATCCGCGTGCGACCAGATGGCTTCGCATATGTCCCAAGCACGGGGTCAGAGCAAATCCTGGGCCCCGAGAGGAACCTCCATGGCGCCCCATGGGTCGGTGGCAGCGCGATTCGTCGTGGTGGCGCGGGAAGGCAACTCGGCCACGAGGCCATTCTCGCCCCGGGGCGGATCTGCATGCGCCTTCGGGGTGAGCCCCGAGAACGCATTTCCAGTGCCTGGGGCGGCCGTGGAGGGCGAGGGCACCATGCCCAACGGGGGGGCGCGGGCGAGTGGGCGGCGTCCACGCACGCCCCTTAAGCCCGTCAACAAACTCGTTCCATGGGTGCTCATTGCCAGCTTCCACGCGCCATGCGTTGACCGGCCTCCCGCGCCTGCGCATGTCCTGGGTAACTTGCGCAACCCTGGCACTTGCATTGTCGCTCGCAGCGATCGCGCCAACGTACAAACGAGCAGCCGCCCTCGCCGCGACACTCAACGCTCCTGCAGTGGCCAGTTCAGCATCACTCACAATGGCGACTATAGCCCACAGAATAGCAGCGCGCACTGCACGCGTGCTCGCGGATTGTACTTACGCGGCGCAGGTGCCCAATGCCGTGCCGCCCCAGAATCGCAACTGAGCGAAGCCCTCGCTATGTTCACCTAGCTCGACAAGGCCTCGACCCCCTTTCCCTTCGAGGCCCTGTCTGATGGGCCCATCGGGGCGGCGCCAGGCCCGAAGCCGCCGCCGCTGCCGCGGCCGGCGCGCGGCCCGCGCAAAACAAGCACCCTCCGGAAGGGCGGGGGGGGGGGCGGTGGCACGATCGGAAGCGGGGGCTCCGACATCTCGCGCGCGAGACCTCGCGTCTGAGATGATATGAGAGGGGCGGCCAAAAAACGTCGACGACACAACCCTGGAGCTGTTCCACTTGAGCGCGGGCAGGTCTGGCGGCATCTCTCGTGGATTCCCCGACGGCAGCTCCGCCTCGCTCGCCCCCCCCCCCCCCCCCCCACCCCCCCCCCCCCAGGCCGGGGGGGGCGGCGGCCGCGGGGGGGGGGGGCAGCGGGGGCAGCCGAAAGCACGGAAGCGGGAAGGGGCGGGGGCCCCGCCGGCGGCGGCGGCGCACGGGGGCTGAGCGCGCCCCACTCAGCTCCGCCCTCGCGGGCAAGCTTGGCCCATTCTTGGCGGCGCGAGAAGCCTCCTGTTAAACGTCGCGCGGCGGGCGCGGGCTGCGGCGAAAGGGGGGGGGGCGAGATCGAGAGGCCCGCTGGTGCTGACGGCAACGCCGAGCCCCCGGTGGACGAAGCCAGTTCAAGACAGCGGTCATCGACGAGGCCAAACCCTTTCACATTGTCGCGCAGGTCCCAAAATGAGATGTGGCATCGGTCTGCGGTTAAGTCCAGCCCATGGTCGTCGTCGATGATCACGTGGCCCAGTGAAACCCACGATGCTTTGTCAGGCCTTTTCTGCAAAGCTCTTCCTCTGCCCTGCGGTGATTCTCCGCTGGCGGCTTGGAGCCGTGCTCTCGGTGCGAGCCCGCGCCCTGCAGCCCTGGCGCCCCCCTGGCCAGTTCCTCTTATATCCCCTGCATCGAGAGGAAATGCGCTAGCATTTGAATCCGTGGTGTCTGCGAAATGTCTGCGAAACAATCAAATCTGACACAATCGAATCAGGGGCCCTGCCGCGACCCCCCTGTCCACTGCCCGCTTGGTCCATCGGGTGAGGCCGGCGACAGAATATCCACGACTTACATGTGTCCCTGACTGGAACGGCGATTGCAGCCGCAACGGGCACCGCCAAGGGCGTCAACGGTCCCGCCTGCTTCTCCTGTGAGTCCTGGGCCATGTGAAACCCACCTTGCCCTTGACGCTTGCTCTGTTCATCCACTCGATGCTGCTCGCGCCGTCGAGGTTAATGTATGTATGTTCCATCCCCCCTGTCAGAATTCATCCATGCGGGATTTCCTACGGTGCAATTCCATGCTGGCGGTGGCGGTCTGGCAGAAAGAGGCAGTCCTCGAGTGTTCCATGCGTTCCTTGCTGAGGTGTTGCTGGTGCTCCCTGCTGGGGTACTCGCTGCACTCCCTGTAGTGGTACACCCTGCGCTCCCTGAGGTGGTGCTCCCTGCAGTCCCTAACTCGGTACTCCCTGCGCTCCTTGATGCGGTACTCCCTGCACTCCCTGATGTGGCGTTCCCTGCTGAGGTGCTCCCTGCACTCCCTGCTGACGTGCTCCCTGCACTCCTTGGTGTGGTGCGCCGTGTTGTCCTTGATGTGGTACTCCCTGCACTCCCAGCCGAGGTGTTCCTTAAGCCCCAGGCAGAGGAACCCCCTGCGCTCCCGAATGCTGCGTCTCATCGTCCATTGGGTGCACCTGCTGCTGCGACTGCTGCATGTGCGCCATCTGCATCTAAGCCAGCTGCGAGGGATGCTGCTCCACAGAATTCTGACAGCGATGCTGACCAGGCCCTCTTGCGATTTGATCAACGCATTGTGGTTCCAACCAGCTGACGTTTGCGAGGGCCCTGTTGCAAATGAACTGACCCCTGCGGCCAAAACCTTCACTGCCAACGGGCTACCACTCTTCTCGTTGATCCTCTTCCATGTAGCATTATTCGTCGTCCCCTTCCTTCAGCTCTTCCAGCTGGTCGATGCAGCCTTCTAGATGTGTCAACTACCCCTTCTGCCTCAAGCCCCTGACGACAATGATGTTTCTGCAGGGTCCTGATGAGCCCCATTCGCTCCACCATGTTGTTGTATGTTGCCCTGGTCTCCTAGGTCCCAGTTGCAATAGCACCAAACACTAATCGAACATGGCCAGATCGTCGAAAGCGTGCACGAAGTATCTTCTCCCCCTGCCACGCCTGCCAGTACCAATACGTGCGCCATTACATATATTTCCTCTTTGATTTCGTCTCTGAACTCCTGGTGCATGTTCTCATGTTTGAGCGGTCTCTGGAGTAGGTCGTGCTGCTCAGCAGCGGTCGGGTTGAAGGGTGTTGTCTTCAAAAGGAGCTGACGTATATCCCTGCCCAGTTCGTTGCCCATGACATTCAGTGATTTGACCACTTCTTTCTGCCAGGGGGGGTATTCTTGCCTCTTGGTGTAACTGCCCCGGGAAAGGCTCTGGTCGGAGTTCCCCCTTTACCGGTACCAGGCCAAGTCACAACGAAACCAGGAGGATGACCAAGATATTCCAGATTTCGTAATAAAAGGGAGGGGGTCTCATTTCGGGGGGGGTCTCTTCCAGGCTATCTTGGAGGGCCTGGGGGGGTCTGGGGACGATGTTTTGGAGGGTTCTCCCACGGGGGGGGGTCTAAAACTTCTCGTCTGGGAGGGTTGAGACCCCCTCCCTTTTATTACGAAATCTGGAGTATCCCCTTTCTTCCACATTCGCACGTCCATGTCTCTCCCTGCGAATATGCACTGCGATGCGAGAGCAGCCTGCCACGTGCTCGCCGCACTCTTTCGACGTCACGAGAAGCTCGTCGCTGTGCTCGTGCTCGTCGGTGCCAAGCCGGTTCTTTAGCCCAGAAAGGCGCAGCTGGGTCGGGGCTGGAAGCCAGCGGGGTCGCCCGTGGCCAGAAATTCGCCTAACAAGCGCTGGGCCGCTGGGCCAGGCGGCCGTCACGGAACCAGACCTTCTCTCGCTTCCTCCTCCGCTTCTTCCTCTTCCTGCTCGTCCTCCTCCTCCTCCCCCTCTATTACTCTTCCTTATAAGTAACTTCTCCCTGTCGCACTCCGAGGCAAATTTTTAGGGCGGGCAGGGCGTTTCGCCGGAGACTTACTCATCATTTACGACCCTGAAGCTCAGGTGTTGACGGCATTTTCGCAATTGGAGGGCGGGTCGTTTTCAATATGTGGCCCGTTTCCAAATTGTGACTCTCGCCCCAGCGCCGCGTGCATTCG